GAGAGCTTTTTTCAGTCCCTACAAATACTTCCCTCTGTCTGGTCTCTGAAGCAGCCTGGCCATTGTACTGGCTTTCCTCACTGTGATTATTAAGTAAGTCCCTGACACAAGCTATGAGTCATGCTTCTAACTTCTTGAAAATTATGCGTTCACAGTTCCTGAATCCAGCTACGCCCTCAGCACCTGCTCTCCATGTCTAAAAAGCCTCTCAGACTTTGCCCCCTTTGTAAAAGATGTCTCCAAGTCCTGAGCCATGGTTAGGAATCCTGACTTTGTGTGGAAACAGACTTCACACATCTAATCAAAATCAGGTCACTGAGCCTTAACCCTGTGACTAGTGTCCCAGAAGACGGCCATGTGGACACAGAGACTGGAGTGAACAGCCACAAGCCAAGGATGCAAAGGACTGACAGTCACCAGGAGTTGAAAGAGGCGGGAAGGATCCTAGGAGGAGGCAGTCCTTCTGACACTCACTGCAGACTTCTGGCCTCCGGAGGGTAGGACAATCCATTTCTGTTGCTTTAAGACACCTAGCTTGTAGTCTTTATCACAATAGCTGAGAACATGAATACATGGGGTCAGTTAGTGACATCTTCATGCTCTCCAAGTGGCAACCTCACTGCTCACAGGGAACCCACAGCAAATTCTGTAGGCTCCTTCTTCACAGTGCACCCCAAACAGCCCTAGATCATCCATCCTCCATTACCCCAGAGGCTACCAATCCCCGTCTATCTCTATGCAGCAGCCCAGATGATTTGTCACTCCTGTTCTGAGAACTGCCCCGCTCCCATACTCCTCAGAATGAAAGTCAAAGCCTTATGCTGAAGGAGAAAATAAACAATCCCACTAACGATGGGCAACTTAGCTCTGGGTACTGGTGGCTCATACTAGTAACCCTAGCTACTCAGAAGGCTGAGCTCTGAGAATCAGTTCAAAGCCAGCCCAGGCAGGAAAGTCCCTGAGCCTCATATCTGGAGCTGTAGCTCAAGTGGTAGAATGCTAGCCTTGAGTGCAAAAGCCCAGGGAAAGTGCCCAGGCCATTAAAGTTCAAGCCTCAAGACTGAGGTATGCAACCAAGCACACGCATGCATACATGCATACATGCATACACACATATACACACACAGAGCCAACTTAAATAGATATTTCTCCAAAGGAGACAAAGGGCCAATGAGCAATGAGTCCCCAGGGACCTGCAAGCCCCCTCCCCCAACCCAGGGATTACAAAGATGCTACTGCACATCAGGGAGACCCGAACCAAAAACCCAGGAAGAAAATTTTGATCAAGACATGAAGATACCAGGACCTTCACACAGCTGCTTTGCACAACAGTGAGCAGTTCCTCAAAATGCTAAGCATGACGTTAATGCATGATGCTGCAGTTGCATTCCAAAAAGAAATAGAAATCCATGTCTCATGTAAGAGTTGTATGTGAAGATTCATAGCTGCACTAGTCACAGTAACCTAATAGCGAGAATGACTAATGTGGTACATCCACAGATATTGTATGACTATAAAAACAAATGCAGGGCTTGGAAGGTGGCTCAGTGGTAGAGCACTTGCCTTGTATGACTGAGGCCCTGGATTCAATTCCTCAGCACCACATAAGCAGAAAAAAAAAGCCGGAAGTGGTGTTGTGGCTCAAGTGGTAGAGTGCTAGCCTTGAGCTGAAGAGCTGAGGGACAGCGCCCAGGCCCAGAGTTCAGGCCCCACAACCGGACCCAAAAAATAAAAAAATAAAATAAAATAAAATAAAATAAAAACAAATGCAGCCAGGCACCAGTGGCTCAGATTACTATAAAGTTGCAATAGCCTGTAATTCTAGCTACTCGGGAGGCTGAGATCTGAGGACACAGTTTGAAGCCAACCAAACAAACAAATCTACGAGATTCTTTTTATTTCTTTTTGTCGATCGTGGGGCTTGAACTCTGGGTCTGGGCACTGTCCTCAGCATTTCAGCTCAAGGCAAGCACTCTACCACTTGAGCCAGAGCACCACTTCCGATTTTCTGGTGGTTTATTGGAGATAAAGAGTTTCACGGACTTTCCTGCCAGGGCTGGCTTTGAGCTGCAATCCTAAGATGTCAGCGACCAGTGCCCTGCTCTAAGAGTTCTTTCTCTCTTTTTTTTTTTTTGTCATAGGGGCTGAACTCTAGGCCTGGGTGCTGTCCCTCAGCTCTTCAGCTCAAGGCCAGAGCTCTACCACTTGGGCCACAGTGCCATTTCTGGATTTTTCTGCTTAAATGGTGCTGAGGCATTGAATCCAGGGCCTCATGCACGCAAGGCAAGCACTCTACCACTGAGCCACCTTCCCAGCCCTTTGAGAGATTCTTATCTGGCAAAAAGCCAGAAGTAGAGGTGTAGCTCCCCTAGGGTCCCTGGGATTCTTGCCAGTCAGCCTTTCTGTAACAACTCAAGTGGTAGAGTCTAACCTTGAGGAGAAAAGCCAAGTGAGAGTACAAGTCCCTGAACTCAAGCCCCAGCACCAGCACACACAAAACCCAAAAACCCAAACACAGTGGATTTGGGGCATGTTTCCAAAATAAAAATAAAGAACACAAAATAAAAACAAAAGCAAACTGGCACATACTGAAACATGGTTGAACTTGGAAAATATGCTCAGCAAGAGCAGACATTCACAAGAACACCTACTGTATGATTTCACTTACCAGAATCGTCAAATGGACTAATGCATAGGACTACATCAGGTTTGGCCAGGCGCCAGTGGTTCATGCCTATATTCCTAGCTACTCAGGAATATGAGATCTGAAGATCACAGTTCAAAGCCAGCTTGGACAGACAAATCCCTGTAAGATTCTTATCTACAATTAACCACCCAAAAGTCAAGTGGTGTAGATGTCAACCCTGGCAAAAAAGCCAAGCAAGACAGAGAGAGAGAGAGAAAGAGGAGGAAGGGAGGAGAAAAGAGGAAAAGGAAGGGAGGAAGGCTGGTTTAGGTGCCAGGGACTTGAGGAGGAAATGGTGAATGACTGTGGGCAGTTGTGGGTCGTCTTTTGTGGATGATGAAACTGCTCTAAGCCTGAGTGTGGAAAAGGTTACACGATCCTGTAAATACACTAAAACCAAGAGCTGCATGCTCAGGCTAGCTGGGTGGTGTGAAAGTTACATCTGAATGAAACCTTTTAAAATACACTGAATAAATAATTACATAAAGAAAAAGTTAGAGCCAGGCACCGGTGGCTCAGGCCTGTAATCTTAGCTACCCAGGAGGCTGAGATCTGAGGATTCCAGTTCAAAGCCACCCCAGCCAGGAAAGTCCATGAGACTCTGATCTCCAATAAACCATCAGAAAGCTGAAAGTGGTGCTGTAGGCTCAAGTGGTAGAGCGCTAGCCTTGAGCTGAAGAGCTGAGGGACAGCGCCCAACCCCCATGACCAACAAAAAAAGAAAAAGAAAATACTAGAGACTGCTAGTTCAGGATTAGATGATGAAGACTGAGTCCTCCCTGCTCCTGCAGCTAAGTACAACTTTTCAATGACACCACAGACAATTACAGGACTCTGAATTGTGCTTGGGAAGCAGGCTGGCCAGGGTGGAGGCAGGAGCATCGCCAACAGCAGACCAGGCAGGTCCCTAAGCACCAACCCTGGGGAAGTCATCAGGGACAAAGCAGGACCTGTGGTAGAGGTTGCCTCACACCAGCCTCCGTCCTCTCTCAGCAGCTCTGGGCAAAGTGAGAAGCGCCTCGCCCCTGAGGCAGTACCTGCAGAGTAAGGCACAGGGTGAATACAACAGATCAGCATAGGAAGGCAAAGGCTCTGAAAACTGGACCGCCGTGGGAGTGGGCCGGGATGTCCTCTGTCTGCGCACCCCTCACGTGCTTAGGTGACTTCTAACAAGATACCCAGCTGTCTACGCCGCGAGATGACCAGTCACACCAGGCAACTCGCGTCGGACAGCGCACCGAGCCAGGGGCACTCACAAGCCCGTAAAGCGGCCCCACCATCCGATCCCTGCCACAAGAGCAAAACCCAAGTCTTTTGTGCGGTCCTTGGGATGGAGCGCAGACCGGGCCTGCACAGGTGGCTGCTGGGGGTGGGGGGTCCGCGGGCCGCGCTGGGAGGAAGAGGATGACCACGGCGTAGCGGTTTATCTGCGCGCGCGCGGAGACGGCACCACGGGCCGGGCGCGCGCCGCTCAAGCGCGGACGGCGGGCCGAGGCCGGCACCCAGGCAGGGCACTGCGCCTCCGGCGCGCCCCCGAGGGCGGGGCGGGGCCGGGCACACGAAGCTCGGGGACGAGGCGCGCACGCGTACCGCAAAGCGAGGTGGCAGAAGCGGCCCGTCCGGTGGCCCCAAGGCCCCGAGTTCGAACTCCGGTGGCAGAGAGGAAGCCTCCGCGGGACCCCGCGCACACCGCGAGCGCCGACCTACGGCCGCAAAACGCACGCGACACGCCCCGAGAGCCGGCCCGGGCCGGCGCACGCCCTGGATCTCCGTCCGGTAGGCGGGGCGGCCCGCGGCCCGAGCGGAGCCTCAGCGGGGGCACGCCCTCCGCCCGCCCGGCCCGCCAGCTCGGAAGCCCAGCGGCCGGCTGGTGGAGAGCCGGGTGGAGCGCGCTTGGCCAGCGGCGCAGGACGACGCTCTTCGGGGCCCGGCACGAGGGGCGGAGCGCGAGACTGCGCCTGCGTAGCCTCCCGGAGGCGCTCGGGACGCGCAGAACTACGCATGCGTGATCTGTCTGTGGAGCGGGGGCGGGGCGAGAGGGCAGAACGGCGCTTGCGCGGGCCCTCCCGGCCCCGCCCCACCTGTGGTTCGCAGCGTGCTGGAGCACCGGGCCCGGGCGCGGGCTCCGGGCGGGGCAGGTGCGGCGGACTGCGCCTGCGCGCGGCGGCCCCGCCCCGGCCCCGCCCCCGCGCCGCGCGGGGCCCTGGGAGGGGCGCAGCGTCCGGCGGCGTCGCGGGCGGCGGGGCCGGGGTGGCGGGAGGGACGGCGGGGGCAGACAAAGCGGCTAATGAATGGGCGCGCCCTCCGCGCCGTCCGCTGCCTGCGGGCCCGCGCCGCGCCCAGCCGGCGCCCAGGTGAGTGCGCTCGGGTGCTTCCTCCGCGGTCTGCGCCCACCGTCGGGCGCCGCCGCCGCGGGGCGGGGGAGGGGGCGCGCCATTGTCCGCTGGGGCGCCGGGCCGGGCCGGAGCGGCCTCCCCGCCCGGCCGGCTGACGGGGCCGAGCCCCGCCACGTCGTGGCGTCCGGGACAGCGCCTCGGCGCGGTGACACGGCCTGGGCCGCCCCGCGCCGCCTGCGCTCCTTTTGTCCCTTCCTGGGCGTCCCGCACGCCCGCCCTCGGGGGCCGCCGTCCCGCAAGCGCCGTCCCGCCGGAGCAGCCGGGCGGAGGTGGGGGCGGCGCCGTCGAGCACCGGCGTGTGGTGGACGGGGTCATGGACGGGGTGCGCGGCTCGCCCCGCCGGCAGCCCGGGGCGCCGTCGAGGACCAGGATGGTGCCGCCCCGCAATGGTCTGTGATCGGGTGCTGGACGGTGCCGCCCCGCAATGGTCTGTAATCGGGGTGCTGGACGGTGCCGCCCCGCAGTGGTCTGTGATCGGGGTGCTGGACGGTGCGTGTCCCGCAGTGGTCTGTGATCGGGTGCTGGACGGTGCGTGTCCCGCAGCGGTCTGTGATCGGGTGTTGGACGGGGTGCTGGACGGTGCCGCCCCGCAGTGGTCTGTGATCAGGTGCTGGACGGTGCCGCCCCGCAGTGGTCTGTTGATCAGGTGCTGGACGGTGTCGTCCCGCAGTGGTCTGTGATCAGGTGCTGGACGGTGCCGCCCCGCAGTGGTCTGTGATCGGGTGCTGGACGGTGCGTGTCCCGCAGCGGTCTGTGATCGGGTGTTGGACGGGGTGCTGGACGGTGCCACCCCGCAGTGGTCTGTGATCGGGTGCTGGACGGTGTCGCCCCGCAGTGGTCTGTGATCGGGTGCTGGACGGTGCCGCCCCGCAGTGGTCTGTGATCGGGTGCTGGGCGGGGTGCTGGACGGTGCCGCCCCACAGTGGTCTGTGATCAGGTGCTGGACATTGCATGTCCCGCAGGCTGTTGGACGGTGCACATCCTGCAGTGGTCTGTGACGGGGGGGGGGGGGCTGGACAGGGTGCATGGCTTGCCCACCCAGCAGCGAGACGGCCCGGTGGCTCTCCACCAAGACCTGCTGCCTTTCAACTTGGGCTCCTGTCCATCCTGGGGCTGGGGTCCCACGGCTGGGGTTTGGAGGTTGATTTTTTATTGGTTGTGAGCTCATTCCCTCCCAGATGGTTGTGTTGAGAGAGGAACCGAACTTTCCACATCCAATTCTGCATCCCGCAGGTCTCAAACACAAGCTGAAAGCTGAGGAAAGCACCAACTGTGAGCCTTCAGGCAGACCACACCGCTCCTCACTCTAGCTTTTTCTCCAGAAAAGATCCACTGCAGCACAGATCCCGAGCTTCAGAGACCTAAGTTTTAGGCAGAGAGCAGTCTCTTATATTGGTGGGGAAGAGCAGCTAAGACTCGTAGTCCATCTGACAGGTAATTTACTACAGGACTCTTACAATTTGTTACCGAAGGTGGTGTGTTTGGGGGTGTGAAAACTGTTAACATACTTGTCCTCCAAGACCTTGGAGGAGACTAAATTATGAGGGCAGGTGGTTGACTTCTACCTATGTCAGGCAGCTGATGAGCATAGTTTCTCTAATAAAAGTTATGTGGGCCTCCAGTTTGTTTGAAAGCGAGGAAAACTGGGAAGTGGAGCTCTGGAAGCAAAAGGCAGTTAACAGTCCACAGTCAGTGCATTTTCCTCATTTCAGATCTGCATTTTGTCTGTGTGTGGCTTCAGCTACCTCAGTTTCTGCTATGGTCCTGTTACTGTGGTCATCTCAGTGCTTGGCCCAGAGTAAATTCAGGCAAGACCTAAAATATAGTGAAAGTGGTAAGAAAGAAATACAGCAGCAGAAGGAGATGTTTCTGTGGCTTGATGTGCTACAGGAAGATGGCACGTCATTAATCTTCAGCCATCTCCAGGGTAAAGACTTGGGGTTAGATGGAGGAAGATGGGGTGGCAGGGGACAAAAATACGCATACTTGAAGAGTTCTGGTTGCCGGGCACCACCAGTGGTTCACACCTGTCATCCTAGCTACTCATTTGGCTGAGAGATGAGGATCACAGTTCAAAGCCAGCCCAGGCAGGAACGTCTGTGAGACTCTTATCTCCAGTTAACCACCAGAAAACTGGAAGTGGCACTGTGGCTCAAGTGGTAGAGAGCTTGCCTTGAGCTGAAGAGCTCAGAGACAGCACTCAGGTCCAGAGTTCAAGACTCATAAGTAACCAAAAAAAAAAAAGTTCTGGTGACAGGTCGTTATTATCTGTGTTCTGGTTCTCCCAAGTTCCAGAGAAGTTGTTGCCATTGTCGTCAATTACAGGAAGTAAAGTAGTCTGGTTCTGTGAGATTCCTCCAGCTCTAGGGTGCAGGCTGTTCATTAAGTAATTGTCCTCATTTCAAGGTGATCTGTCCTACAGGCTCTGCTGTTCTTTTAGTTTAGGTTGAGTCCCTTGTCATAAAGACAGTATTGATTAGTCTCCCCTTTCCTTAAAGCCAAAGTGATTGCAAGGTGACTGTTAAAAGAATGGCCTAAAGGGGTGACATTGTCCAAAAAGAAATGTAACCTCTGTCAGGTGCCAATGGCTCACCCCTGTAATCCTAGCCACTCAGGAGGCTGAGATCTAAGGATCGAGGTTCAAAGCCAGCCCAGGCAAGAAACTCCGTGAGACTCTTATCTCTAATAAACTACGCAAAAAAAAACAGAAGTGGTGCTGTGGCTCAAGTGGTAGAGCACTGGCCTTGAGCTGAAGAGCTGAGAGACAGCGCCCAGGCCCAGAGTTCAAGCCCCACGACAGACAAAAGAAAAAGAAAAGAAATGTAACCTTTACCTGACTTGTGTAATTGTAACCCCTCTGTACATCACCTTTATAATCACAGTTTAAAAAAAAAACTTAATGGCCTAGAGCAAAGACAAATATCAGGTTGAGTCCGAGATGCCAGGTTTTTCTCCTGCTTTTAATTTCCTGCTTTTAATTCATGACAGCAACACAAAATGTAACAAACCAGTTGTTAAGTGCCTGTTACAAATATACTTTCCAAAGACTGAAAGTGTGTCTTGAGGTTGAGCAGGATAGCATTAGCTTTGGAGTTTGAGTACTTATTTTCAGATTGCTTGTGAGAAATTCCTGCCCCTCGGTCCAGTCTGCAGAACTGAGGTCACCTGTGAGTTGGAAAGTCTCATTAAAACATTCACTTTGAGACCTTGTGATCTCATCTTCCATTTTAAGTTTCCTTTTCACTTCCCCATGGCTCGTGACAAACTGCTACCTGACTGGGCAGTAGCGGGTTGGTAAGAGGGAGCAGGTGAGTGAGTGCTTGGTAGCTGGTGCTTAGCCCTGTGGCGGAGGCCCCTGAAGTCGGAGGCTAAGCCACAGACTCTTCTATCAGCATTGTCTCCTTCTAAGTGTCTGCCCAGAACACTTTCTTCACCAACTGTCATTCTTCTGTCATTAGCATTTTCTTGTTTTTTTGGTCCGGTCGTGGGGCCTGAACTCTGGGCCTGGGCGCTGTCCCTCAGCTCTTCAGCTCAAGGCTAGCGCTCTACCACTTGAGCCACAGCGCCACTTCTGGCTTTTTTCTATGTGCTGCTGAGGAATCAAATCCAGGGCCTCTGGCATGCAAGGCAAGAGCTGTACCACTGAGCCACCTTCCCAGCCCGTCATTAGCATTTTCAAGGCATGAAGACATGTAGGAATGTATGGTTCCCACATACAGATGTTTGGATGTTCGTATGTCTCTGAATTCTTCATAAGAGTCTCGGTGTGTGTGTAAGCTTTACCCTTTCTGAGTGCCTCCACTCTGACCTTCTTGTGTGTGAAGTGCACCAGTATGCCAGGCTTACTGCCCTTCAGGGGCTCTTGCTTTCTATACCCCAGCCTTCTGTGCCCTGCTTTTCAGTGCCTAGGTTTTTCTTTCTCCCAGAATACCCTAAATCATTTACTTGCTACTTATTTTCTATACTGGGATTTGAACTGTGGCCTTGTACTTGCTAGACAGGTGTTGTGTTCCTTGAACCATGTCCTTAAGCCTTTTTTTGCTATAGTTATTTTCAGAGACCCGTGTTTTTGCTTGGACCAGTCTTGGACCGCAGTTCTCCCTGTGTATCACTCCTAGCCGGCATTGCAGGTACATGCCATTGTGCCCAGCTTGCTTGTTGAGATGGAGCCTTACTTTTTGCCTGGGTTGGCTTTGAACTAGGATCTTTGCTTTCTGAATAGCTGGTATTACACGTGTGTACCACCACACCCAGTCCTTGAGCTAATTTTTGTGTGTATGTGTGCCTATGAATCAATCTAATCATCCCAAACCCTATTAGATCACAAAGGCCAGGAGAAGGATTAGAGAAATATAGTTAGAAGCGGTGCTGGTGACTCATGCCTATAATCCTAGCTACTAGGAGGCAGAGATCTGAGGATCGCGGTTCAAAGCCAGCCTGGGCAGGAAAGTCCATGAAACTCTTTATCTCCAATAAACCTCTAGAAAACCAGAAGTAGCACTGTAGCTGAAGTGGTAGAGCGCTAGCCTTGAGCTGAAGAACTGAGGAACAGTGTTCAGGCCCACCAGAATTCAAGCCCTATGACCAACAAAAAAAAAAAAAAAAAGAAAAGAAAAGAAATATAGTTAGGAATGAGAGTCTATGATTCACCACAAAGTACAGAAGACAATTTGGAAGAAAAGGGAATTTCACTGTGGAAAGGATGCTCTTATCCATTTCCCCAAAAACGTCAGAAGGCTTTAAGTAAATTATCAGGTGCTTTAGGGAGAGGTATTGGGTTGTCGGGGCGTGTTTGTAAGGACCACCATCAGCTCCCAGAGCATAGTGGATGCCGTCACTCAGGATGCCATTTTCCTCAGCAGTCCCGTTCAGCTCCTCTCTTTGCTCCTCAGTGGGAATGCTGCCTGGTTTTCCATGCGATGTGACAGTTGTATAGGTGAATTTGACCACAAGATACA